GTTTGTGGCCGCTGAGTTTGCTGCTGATGCTGTTGTTGTGTTGTGGCTGTGTCATGGTGGGTTATGCGATGTTTGGAAATGCTCCGTACGGCAGATAACAACCATTGGCGGGTGACATCTCGCTTCACAAATCGAATTCGCAATGTGGATGCATTGCTTAGAGCCCCTTGATCAATCTACTGTTGAAGGAATGTCTCCCCACACCAAATTGGTCACGGGGCTTGTTCGATAATAGTCCCCAATGCTCATCATTGTGGGTTTAGTCAAAATTGGGGGGGTGGGGCAACACTGATCCGGATATCACTGGCCACTGATGTTCACTGTGTCCAGAAATTAAACTCAGGACACTGGGTCTATTGGGCTTACCACTGGGCCAACGCATTACCCTGTGCGTTCGTAGAATGTCTATTGGTTACCCCAGTCACGTGGTGGTGGGCTATTCACAAATTGTCCATTGGTGGAGGAGATCGCTGTGATACTAACATAGCCTATGAGCGGTCAAAGATTGGCCAGAGGTTCCTTTTCATTGTCTTTGGATCTGGCCATAAAGTAGCCAAAGTTGGACAACAATGTGCACGGTTCTGGCTTGGTTGGCCAATTTGTGACCGAAATTTTGATGTTTACGGGTGGTCCGAGTGGTTAGAGGGGACATCGATGTCGGTAAATCCGGTTGGAGGTGGCTGCTCCATGAGGTTAGTTCTCCTGGCGGAGTGGAAGATGGCAGCCTTCACGTGGCCCACTCTGTTCAGTGAGAAATCACAACGATCATGGATCACTGATCTCCCGGTCTCCAGAGCAACACCACAAGCCACGCCAACTACCCTCTTCAGGACCAAACAATGCGCCAGATAGGCCCTGGGACAAGGATCTCCTCCACCGAGGGACTCGCCCGGGGGAAGTGCGAGTATCTCGCGATCACGATGATGCCCCCACGACATTGATGTCCTGATGCTGCAGGATGCCCTACATGCCAGTTGCTACCACATCCATGGATACAACCGCATGATGAGCAGTTACCCTGGGCCCTGCTCTTCGCCCAGGGTGCTCACCATGGGTGGATTTTGCGGGGGGTGGGGGGCACAGGGGGCAATGCCCCTCCCAAACAGGACACCTTTACTGATTTATTTTCAGTAGTTTACGATTAAGATTAAAAATGGATAAATTATATTCACCCGCGATTCTTAATGTGAGGGACAAAGTGAACTCCTGCCTCCCCAAATATAGAAGTCAAACTTTGGCGCTCACCAATTCCTCCTCACCAATCTGATCTCACTTTGGGGCCAGAGACGGACATGGCAAGTTCCCAAGGTGGGAGGGCCTCCCAAAATTTCAACTTTTTACATAAATAAAAAATTAAAGTAAACATTCATTGTACTTCCACTGAGGGGATGGGGAGGCTGGAAGGAGCTTGCTTCTACCCCCCCCACCAGACCCTCCACTGACGAGGGCAATACAGCCAGGGCTCTGCCTCTGAGATAATGCGAGCTTTATTATTTAGTTTGTTTTTCCCACTGAATTAATTAAAGGGCCGTTTGCATTGTGCGCGCATGGGGCTCCTGTTACGTAACGAGTGGAATGTGCTCTGTGCCCCCATTAAGGGTTTCTCTGAGTGAAAGGGCTTTCGTGGCCATGAAATCACCACCGTGCGCGTGTCTGAGTGGTGTCCGCGTGCTTGTGTGTGTGTGGTGTGTTACTGTCAGTGTGAGTACGTTCATTTGTATTGGAGGTGGTGCTGGCCACCCCCCCCCCCCTCTCGTGTGCCGTACCGGCCTTAAGTGTTCGCTGACAGAACGTGCCCCATCAGTCGGTTAAACGCGATATGCGTGGGGTCTTTGTGTCTCGCTTCATGTGTGTGCGTCCATGAAGAGCAGACCTCTGTCTCGTTATGCGTGTGTGTTAACAAAACAAGCCACAGTGATTTCCTGCGCATCTCCTGTTTACAACCCCAAACTAGTCGTGGAAATTCTACGTTCTTATGGCAGAGGCAAGTATATCCATTGGACAACTACTGCTGACTTCCCCATAAAGGGGCACTTATTTTATCAGCCCCGGAAAGATTGGAACGCGCAATCAGGATTAGAACGCGCAACCTTTACGTTCAATCACTGAGCCACCCATGCGGATTGCGCGTGTGTGCACGTGTCTGTGTGTGTGTCTCTCTGCCCCTGTGCATGTATATACTCCAGACGTTAATCCTTCGCCCTGCCTCTACATGCACGCACTGCCTATCTGCATCGAGACGGTGCATTTGCATTTTAGACGCATAGCATCGTGTGTATGTGGTGTACATGTTTGTGTGTGTGGTAGCTGCTCACTTACAGCATTTGCCCCTACAGCCTGTGTAGGCTACACAGGGGATGGGTAGCGCCAGTGAAGTGGTGAGCGCACTTCGCTATGCACTCGGTGACCCGAGGGCGAATCCCACTCAGAGCCGACATCAGTGACGAACCGCTCCTGGACCTCTCCTTGGTCGATTCGGCCTTAAATTGGTCTCCTGTGCAGTGTGGAAACATCAGTACAGTACTCGATAGGTACAGACGACCGGGCGTGATGCTGACCACGCTACCCCCGGTATGCGCTGGTTTTGGCCATCACAGGCACTCGCTAGCAGCACTTGCCCCAACAATCTGATAAGGATATACGGGGGATCTTTGTCTTTGTATTCTTACGTGTGCACGGAGGAGTGGCGGGGGTCAGGCCATCAATTGTTGCATGCAGTGCGAGTCGAACTCGTGTACGGCAGGGGCGGTGGCAGTTGGATTACGTGGGGATTGTGGGGCGACCGCTAATGCCCCCTCCTGCCCGTGCCAACTGCCGCAGCGCGGCTGCCGGGGCTGTCGCGGCATCGGCCCTCTCACCCGCTCAGCTGCGTCAATTACGCGTGACGCAAACATTAAACCTCGCATCGAAATTAAAATTCGCCGAGATGGCTTGCGTCGTATTAATTCTCGCGCACCACGCCGCTTTCGGGATCGCTGTTTGGCTAAGTGATGAACAATGGTGTACGCATTAATGAGCCCTTAGCGGTAATTAGGCTCCTAACGTCACGGAGACACTCAAAAGGTAATAACGCAGCGACGAACAATATTAGCTCATTATCTCGGCAGAAAGCGACAAGTCCAAGATCATTACGTAGGAACGCGCGGATTAATTACGCCGCTGCGGTGCGTGCGCTGTTCGCTCCGCACGATCGCCACGGTGTTTATGCCGGGCAAGCGCGCACGCCGGGATCGCTCCGCCACGTCACCCCACACCCGTCGGGATCGGCGCCCTCTCGCACACTTCCCCCCGCACTGCCGGGAGATTAATCCCGAGGCGGGCGGTCACAGGTGATTCGCACGTGGCTAAGGTCTGCTGGCGGATGAAATGTTGGCTGACCTCTACGTGTCTTCGCCCCCCGGGTCTTAATCCCAGTGTGCTTTGGCCCAGAGCCAGGCTGCGACGCCCGCACACGCCCGAGCCCGTCGCGACACCCGAGCGAGATGCAAGCAGCGGAGCGGTGGGGGCGTGGGGAGGAGGGTGGCTGGGGGGGGGGTGCAGCCGTTAATCATCTGAAAGGCGTTTAAAAGTCACGACAGCGAATTCACCGACGGTGCGCAAGAAGAGGTGGCACGTGTGGCAGGGCGAGGGTTTGGGGTTTTCCGTGCGGGGCGCGCTCGCTTTCCCGGGTGCTGGGCACGGCGCCCCCTGCCCCACGATGATGATGATGACGATGATGCGGTGGAAACTCCCGCTGGTTGTCGAGGGGATGCGGCTCTAACGCGTGTGTGTGGCGTTCACCTCGTGCAAAGTCTCCGAGTCAGTGCTGACACTTCCACTTGGTGATGATGGAGGTTGAGGTCACTGTTTATAAGGTGACCACCAGTGCTTACATCCGGAACGCTGTTCCGGAAATTATTATGGTGTGCCACATCCATCTCATCTTATTTTGACCTCGTCATTTTTATAAACGTGTTCATTAGATCGTAAGAATACAGGGTAGAGTATTACACGATGATGATTATAATAGATAGGTGTAGTGTGTACTCCAGTGGTAATGCCTTGCGCTGAAAACCCCTACTGCAAGGCAGCCTCGAAGCATTTCATTAAAATACCGAGCGAGAAAATGAATCCCTGGCGACCACTTTTAACCTCCCACAAATCTGACTTGGTGTTCGGTCCGCCCGGTGTCACTGGCTCATGCGGCTCCGGCCGTCGCCACTCGGAACTCTGCCCCGTGTGGGACCTGTGGACGCTGCATCCTCCCGCGCCAAATGGTTGCAGATCGTCAGCGGTCGTGCCGCTGCTGCTACTCCTCCTCTTCCCGCAAATTAGTGGTCATTTGAACCGCCCTCAAAGGATGATGATCTGCGTCGACAAAATCCGGTAGTGGCCTCGGAATGTCCGTTCCCTGCTGCGAGCGGCTTGACGTCTCCAGGTGGCAGTAACGGCGGCCGCGACGCTCGCTGAGTTGGCGACGGGAACGAGCGTTGGAATGCGGGACCCCTCCCACGCAGTCGTGAAGCTCGGGGTGAATACGTGCGTGATCTACAGTTCCCATCTCAATCCACTGCTAGATGAAGGCCATGAATGAATACATACAAGGAGAAAGTGCTGTGGAACCCCCCTCTAAAATGTATTTGGCTTCCTTTTCCACACTCGCCAGACGTCTTGGAAGAGGTGGGAGGACCCGCACTCTGCCCAACCGCAAATGGCCCACGCCTATCGACAAACTGTGCTGGGCCTATTTACACCACAGTGGGTGGACAGCACGGTGGCGGTGGTGGTGCTGGTATCAATGGGGGGTTAGAATTAAGAAACTCGTGCCATTATTTCAACTGCCGCACCGGGGCATTTGCTGGGAGCTGCCACCTCTGCCTCACACAGGTGCAGCGAGCCAACATCCCTAAGCGCCGTACCGCGGCAGGACTCACCCCCCCCCCCCCCCGTGAATGCAGAACATTAATCTCTCCCCCTCCCCCCTCGTTGTGTCCCCCCCCCCCCACTTCCCCCCACATCAGGACAAGTCCGACGACGACACGGAGGACTCGCTCCTCGCGGCGCTCGCCGAGGGACTGAGCAGCATCGATGGCATCTCTTGCCTGGACGGCATCGGCGGCCTGGCGTGCAGCCCGCCGGGAGGGGCGTGCGGCGACGGCGGCAGCAGCGGCGGCGACGACGACGAGATGGCCTCGCTGCACACCCTGGTGGCCGCCGCGCGGCCCATCGCCGCGGAGACGGCGGACACCCCGGCCGAGGAGGAGGAGGAGGAGGAGGGCGACGAGTGGCAGGAGTTGGAGGAGAAGCAGCAGCGGGAGCCGTCGCTGGTGAGAGCGATGGAGGGGGGCACGACGGAAGCGGGGCGGCGGGCAGCCGCGAGGGTTTGTGGGGGCCTCCGGGGCCCCCGGAGCCTGGGATTGACTGTGGCATTTACATAATTGTGGCTTCTGGAGCCCAAGATCGGTATCGCGAGGCCCCATGGAGGAGAGCGATTCCCGAAGTGGCCGCATGGTCTCAGCGCGCTTAGAACATGGTCAGCGCTGATTTTGAGAAGTAAAAAAAATCGCTCGAAAGAGACTCTGGCACTAGTAGCTTGCACCACCGCAGCCTCCTCTAAGCCGCGTGGTCAGCGTGGAGCAGTAGAACAACAAACCCTTCTCCAGGGTTTGTCTGCACCTTTAACCTTCCCACCGTCCTCTCAATGCGGACTCTGGCTCTGTAGTGAAAACCTAACTGTGTCTCTTCTCCCTCTCTTCCTCTCGCCCTCTCCCCCTCTCTCACTCCCTCTCCCCGCGCAGCTGAAGAAGTTGCTGCTGGCGCCCGCGAACACGCAGCTCAGCTACGAGCACCGCGTGGGGGGCAGCGTGCGCTGCCGCGGCGGCGGCGGCTCCGGCGCCACCGCCACCGCCTCCTCCGCCCAAGCCGCCGTCAGGCCCCACAAGCTGCCTCTGCCCCTCAAGGTGAGTGACCCGGCCCGAGACCGCCACCGCAGTGACACGGGAGGGGGGGTTGGGGAGGGTTCTGGCGAAGGCTGTCGCCCGGGCGTGGGTCTGTGCCCCACCGTGCTCACGGTGGACCGGTGGCACCGTGAGCCACGATGCCCACGGGAGGGCCTGGGGTGGCGAGGCACGCCGCTCCACACGTGTCACCTGTCAACGATGCCGGCAGGTGACGCATGCGGAGCGTTTGCAAGCCTCGCCTGGTCTCAAGACTTGCTTTGCAAGAGCGGCCCGCAATTGAGATAATTTGACCCAGTTCCAGCGTCACAACGCGGCTGCGTTCATCTCTTTCGTCAGTGCTGAGGCAGTGGCGGAAACTCCGCATTCCCATGACGGTGGCAGTGATTGTCCACATGACGAGCTCTGCCTGCAAAATACAAGCTACTGCTGTCAAGAGGCGAATCGCCTCCAAAGTTTTCCCATGCGTTTTTTTTGTTTTTACATCGAAAAAAAAGCCACGCATTGAGTTGCGGTGGATTTCGATACGATCTGGAATTGCAAATAATCTACAGCGAACGCAAGCGCGCGTCATTAAAACGCGGTCGCCCTCTCGTGCAGCCCGTACGCCCGTTCCTCGCTCGCTAGCACAGGGGTTATGTAAAAAAACATTTCTCACCACCCTTGTGTGGGCTACTGGCAGGGGGGATAGGAGGGATGATCGGCGAGGGGTGGGGGGGGGTAGGGGGAGATGGAGGACGGGGTGGGGAGGAGTGGTGGGGGCATGCTTTCTTGCGTCACTGGATACCCTGGACACCCTTGTGACTGAGACGTTTTCCATCTCAAGGGGATTGTCCACGTGGAATATTTTCATGAATGAATTAATCAAAGTAACGTGCAACAGAATGGGTTATACCAGCACAAGGAGCAGGGGGCGGGGGGGGGGGTGTTGGCTCCTGCTGTGGAACTGGGGCAAGCGATTCACGACATCGCGTTGCATTAACGAGTGGACCCAAGGTCCCGATTAATGAGTCGAGGACCCGATTAACCATTATTCTGCACGTGTTCCCTCTGCCTTGGCGACGGTTGCCACCTCCTCCCCTTGCGCTACAATAATAACGGCGACGATGAACGGCACGTGTATCTTGGGAGGACGGACAAAGAGTATCTTTGCAAGAGTGGAGTAAGGAGATCGTCTCGCGTGGTGGACTGTTGCTATCCGCTACGCAACTGGCAAACAAGTTGAATGTCGCCGGGAGGACTCGCAGATATCCCAGCGCAAACCGCTGCTGCCTTACGCGAGGACGGTCCTGGAAAGACCAGGGCAGGTGGTGGCCACCCCGGCCATGGACTAACTCGAACCTCATGCCACGACCTCGGTTTGGCGAGTTCCCATCAACCAGCTGCCACGACAAGAATCGCTTTACTTACTTTTTATGGAGGACTGTACATGCAATGAGGCCCGTTGAGGCATGTAATACATCACTCCTTTTTTGTAAAGGCAACCTGCGTTATGTTAAGCAATTTAGAATACAATAGAATATTTAAGAACATTAAAAATGTAACGGATCTCGACTATATATGCAGCAATCCTCTTCTTGTTTCGTACGACCTAATCGTTGCAGAGCAACGATTACTGGTTCAGCTGTGAGTGATGTAGCCATTCATTTTCTTTGTCTGAGAGTTGGTTAATTGCTTATATGGTACACCCACCCACACAGTCACTCATCCAATCACTCACGCAACCACTCGCACACCCATCCACTCGCCCACCCACTCACTAAACCCACTCACTCACCCATTCACCCACCCATCAGCCCATTCATCGAATCACACTCACCCACCCACTCGCTCACCAACCAGCTTCACCAACCACCTTCACATGTATATTTGGCAAGTGCCTCGCCACAGGCGCACACAGGAGAGTCTCTGCTTTTACTCTCGTGCGTTCAGGATATTTGCCGATTAATTCTAGACACATTGTTTCGATGCATTGAAGATCGCGATGAAGATGAGGGAGACATTTGTGGAATCCCCGAATAAAATTCCATCCCTCCCCTCCCTCTGTCGTCGCAGCCAAAGCCTCTGCTGAGCGGGAGGTCAGCGCCAAACTGCACGGAGCTGCTGCGCTACCTGTGCACGGACGAGGACCCGTCGCCCTCGCACTCTGAAACTCGGGCCACCCGGGGGGGTGGCCGGCCCAAGAAGAAGGCGGCAGCGGCGGCCACGGCCACGGCCACGCAGCCCCAGGCGACGCAGGCGGCGAGATTCACGTACAGAGAGGGTGCGGGCCCCTCCCTAGCCTAGCGCCGGCGCCGCTCCTGCCGGCGGCCATCCTCGCGGCATTTCAGCGGTGTTGCTTTGAGTTGGAGTTTCACTCTATTCTTTCTCTCTCTCTTTCTTCACGTTTTTTTTCGTTTTTTCAATTTATTTCACTAATGTTTTAATTTTCTCCACGTTACAATAACAGCCATCTGTTGCTGAGCTCATGATTTTCTTAATTATAATTTGCATTTTTGTTCCCCCCCCCCCCCCCATTTTTGGTTTATTTTTCTTAATATCTTATTTTTTTAGTTTTTTGCATTTATCTTCCCTCTTTTGTGTGTGTGTGTTTTTGTTTCAGCCAAAGCACCCAGCCTGTCCTTGCCTCTCACTCCCAACTCCCCAGGGTAAGTGCCATGATCACCCCGTTTGTCTTTCTTGCCGACCGTGGCGGAAATTCTCCCTCCACTGCCCAGCGCTCACCGCTCCATCGTTTCGCTTTTTTGCTGAGCGGCCGCGTTACCGGGGGCCGTTCATCAAACCCCCCCCCCCCCCGCCTCTCTCCCACTCCTTCCTCCGCCCCCTCTCCCGTTGCAGGGAAGGCAAAAGCTTCTCCTCCTCCTTTGAAAACAAAACTTTGGACAGGACGCTAAGCGCCGAGCTCTCCAGCACCGCCGGTAGGCTGCGCGCGTGTGCCTTGTGTGTGTGTGTGCGCACGGACGCGTGCGTGTACCTGTGGAGTTGGCGAGCACGGCGGTCACGTGCTGCGGTGGTGTGCTCAGCGCCGTGGCGGCTGGGCGCGTCCATGTTTCCCCAGTGCCTTTAAATGAGCACCTGGTACTCATTTAAAGGCTGCGTCAACCGAAGGGAGACCCAAGACCAGTTCAGACATCACTTGCCACTGATGATGGCTTCTCCTGCGTCGATTCAGCCTCAAATGATTACCTGGTACGGTGTGAAAGCGTCGGCATTCGACAAGAAGGAGAACTGCAGCCTTCATAATTGCTCTCTCATCAGCGTTTGCTCCACAAGTCCGTTGGGCTGCATGGGGACCCTTTGCCATTGCATGTGTGCGTTTGTGTGTTTGTCTAAAGGGGAACGTGTTAGCCACCCACCCCCTCGTGTGGCGCACCGGCCTTCATAGTTGCTTGCTAACAGCACTAGCCCCAACAGTCTGTTCAGGCTATACGGGGGATCTTTGTCTTTTTTTGTGTTTGTCTAAAAGGCTGATGGTGGTTATCATGGTTCACGGGTGGCAGAAACCCCCTAAGCCTTCCAAATCGATGGGGTGCTCGGTCTTTCATTTTCATGGGCCAGCGCTCGCGAAAAGGAAAAGCATTTTTGGCGTGAGCGAGCGCCCCGTTTCCACTGGTCGGTTTCCGCGTCGTGGTGGCAGCGCGGCCGTGGCCAGCACCAGGGGGTGGCCGGCCCCGCCGAGCACGCGACGGCGCAAGACGTGGTGGGAGATGTGGTGGGAGATGTGGTGGGAGACGCGGTGGGAGACGCGGTGGGAGACGTGGCGCTGAAACGATGGCGGTGGCCACGGTGAATGGCAGCGGCTGATAAGGGGCTCCAAGCAGCACGATGGGCGGCCCCGCGTGGTGATGGATTCTCATCGCCGGTTTCGGATTTATTTTTCTTTACCCTGCTCAGGCTTTGTAAAAAGACACCAATTTATTTTTTATTAAATAGGGGAAATTTAGTATGCATGACACCTGAAATGCAGTGTAAATAATCCAGTTTTTTTTTCTTCCTCCGAATGTGTACAAAGAGATGCATTTTCCTAATCCGATGAGGTTTTTTTTTTTTTCGAGAATTCCGCGGACCGCGTGGTATTTTTATGATTTCCGTGACATCTGTGAAATCGCGAATTTACGTGCTAGGCGTAATCACTGGGGACACAGCCGGACCCACGGTGGAAAACCCGGGGAGCCGACCAATCCTCCCCCCACTCCCCCCCACCCCCGCCACGACCAAGAGCGATGGGCCCAAGTCGCCGGCATCAGCCGAGGTTGCAAAACTTTCTTGAACGTGAAAATTAAGAAGTAGCGCTTTTGGTCGTCTTACGCGTGGTAAGAGGCGGGGTGGGGGAGGGGGGGCAAGACAATCGGCCAATCGTTATCGCGAGCGGGGACGGTGTCGAGACATGAGTCGTAATCGTCAACTTTGATTTTGGCAGGAGATAAAAAAAAATTGAAGTTGATTTTGTTTAAGCATTTCAGAACTCAAGAGAGCATGGTGAGTTCTCATTTGCAAGGGTTACCTGAGCCATTAGTCTTCCAGTAGGGGGCGATGATTGCTGCTGCGTAATCCCTGATTTGCATCATTTGCGGGTAAACTTTCGAATTTGACACAGTTCAACCATGAAGCCGGCACACGATGATGGCCCGCTCCTGCGAACGACGTTAGGTGGATCTTTGACGCCCACTTGGAAGTGCCGCGAGGCGCGTAGCCTGGTGCGCAAGAGCCTCCTGCGTGAAGATCGCACGTTTGATCTCGAATTCATGCCGATTAAACAAAGCAACACAAATTCTGAATAGATAAGCATCAGAGTGAAGCAGTCGAATCTGGCCACAAATACAAATGCGGAGTAGATAGGACATCTAAAGCGGTTGCGTTTTGAAAAAATTATTTGGAATCCAAAGGAAATCGGCTGAATTTAGAACAGGCAGCGAGAAAATAACGCGGAATATGATTAGATGTGATGAGACAAGACGGAGAGATGAAGAGCAATAGCAGAGAGACCCGGTCACACGCTCTGCCGCCTTTGGCGACACAACTTCTCACCTTCCCCACACTCGGCGTCCACCCTGCCTCGTCAAGACGTGGGTTCAATTCCCACCTGTGGATAATGAAAAAACACACATCAGTGGGCCTCCTCTAGGTCGACTCTGCCTCAAATGAGGACCGGTGACCTCCTCTTACAGGCGCCGAAACCTACACCTGTCGCTTCGGGCTCCCGCGCCTGCCTTGGACGATGGGCCTTTCTGCCTAGGGGGGGAAGGGGGGGTCGGAAGGGTGGGTGGGGGGAGCTGTCGCATTCCTCGTGCGGAGCGACACGGCCGGCGCGTGTAAGACAAGTGCATCGAGGGCCACATCTGCCGTGCGCCGCTGGGAGATCCGTGAGCGGGCTCCTTCTGGGAGCGGCTGACAAACGGCTTCCTGTGGGAGAGCTCAGAAATAACCAGCGCGCAATTAGCTCTCGGCACGCGCGTGCACCCTCAGCGCGGTGGCAGTGGTGCGTGCGAGGTGCTGCGAACCCGCTGACCTCAGTTCGATTCCCGGCCGTGGACGATGCGATCAGTGGCCCGTTACATCTGAACTGATTCATGTAACACATTCACTTTCATCCATTTCACGTTCCAATAGTGCTGCTCGTTTCCGGCCTCTTGCCAATGCGCTCAGCATTTGCGACAACGTGCATATGAATTGGCCGCTGAACGTGAGCACGTGATGATGACGATGTTGCATGTGCGGACGTCGTCACCGCGGAGACGACGTCTTGCCGGGAGCGCGCGACGCTCAACTCCGTGTCCCACGTGCGCCGCGACGGCCCCCTGTGGCCGCTCGCTGGCGGCACTTGCCCCCCACGCGCTGCGAGGGCTACACAGGGGAGCTTTGCCTTTGTACAGCACTCGCGGCGGTGCCCGTTCCGCGTGTCGGCCGCCGCATCCAGCGGTGCTGCCCCGCGAGCTCTCGGCCGCTCGCCCGAGGGCACGGCTAATGGGCTCATGGGATTGGTGGCCGGCGCGTTCCGGATCAGGAGTGGGGGGGAGGTGGGGGGAGGTGAACCTGCAGCAGCGCTGTGCCGAGCCAGGGCCACGTGCCAAGCGGGGTCAGCGGCCGGCGGGCGGTAGCGATTCTGCGGACTGTGCCTCCCCCCACCACCGCCCCGCTCAATTAACATACCCCCCCCCCCTTCCCCCCATCGTCTTCACCCAATCCCATGTGCTCAAGTGCACGCCATCCGTCGCAAGAGCATTGCCCTAAAACGGATATGTTTAATGGGTGACGTTTCAGGTCATGTCCCTCCTTCAGAGCGCAAGGGACTCACCTGCAGATCACAGAGCTCGGACAGTGCCGTCGATGCGACCGCCGCACTTTGCTTCCTTCCTGTTACCAGATCCAGCGGCAATTGCACAGAGAAGGGCGGGGTGGGGGGTTTACGATCTCCAAGGCTTGACCCCTGCCCCCCCTGTTTAGTGCAACCCCCCCCCCTCTTAGTGCCCCCTGTTTGTTGTGTCCCAGATATAAAAACTCACCGCCTCTCATAGAGCGAGCCGAGTCTCAGCCTCCCTCGCGACCCTGCGGGTGAGAGGGGGGCAGGGGGGGGGGGGTGTCGCATAATCGGCAGGGAGGGCGGGGGGGGATGTCGCATAATCGGCAGGGAGGGCGGGGGGCAGGCTGTGGGTCCAGAGAGGTGGGGGCGGGTGGATGGGGGGGGGGGAAGAGGCTGCCTGTCGGAACTGGTGGTTCCTCCCGCACGGCGCTCTACTTTTTTGAACAGACCTCCGATGCATGTCGGTCACACGTGCTCCATCCCCCCTTGCCACCCGCCCCTCCCCCAAGCCCCCTCCCCCTCCGCGCGTCGGGGTTTATTGCCACGGAGAAGGAACATCTTGTTCCGATTGTCAAAGTCAAATTCGAGCGCAGCAGAGAGCCCTGGGTTGCAGAGCCGCCAGCTGCCGGGAGCCGCCACGACGCGGCTTCGCTCTCGCTCGCGTCCTGCACGAAATCTTTCATTCGTTTTGCTCCCCCATTAATTATTTCGCCGTTGCCCTCCCAGCACGAGCTCCCCGGGCCTCCGCCGACAGCAGCTGACCGGCAAACAGCTGATCCTTTACGCACGCTACTCGTAGCCGGCTCTCGTCCGTCCGTCAGTCAGGGTGCCCCCTACCCGAATTCCCCCCCCCCCCCCGAATCCCGCGCCGCCGGTGGCTAATGTTGGAGCGGAGCATGTGTCTGTGCCACCGCCGGCACGGCCATTAACATGCCGTACCGAAATAGCCCCCCCCCTGCCCCCCCCCCCCCCGATGTACTCCACCGCAGGGTGCCGGAGAAGAGGTGGAGGGGGCGGGGGGGCGACAATGTGAATTGAAAGACGTTGCTGCCTTTTGTGCGGAGCGAGTGCACGAGCGCATTATTTATTTAATAGTTTATTTATGGCACTAATCGCCTCGGCTCGCGTTGCCATGGCGTGGAAAATGTAAACGCTAACCCGGTAGATTTACCGGGCCCTGCATCCCCCCTCAACTCCAGCCTAACACCCCCCCCCTCCCCACCAGCCACCCCACCGCCCCATGTTCCAAGAGTGGTGAAGGGGTCCATGCGACGGTGGTGGTGATGATGATGGTGGTGGTGGTGATGATGGTGGTGGTGGTGATGATGGTGGTGGTGGTGATGGTGGTGGTGGTGATGATGGTGATGGTGGTGATGGTGGTGGTGTTGGGGGTGGTGGTGGTGATGATGATGATGGTGGTGGTGGTGATGATGGTGGTGGTGATGATGGTGGTGGTGGTGATGATGGTGGTGGTGGTGATGGTGGTGGTGATGATGGTGGTGGTGTTGGGGGTGGTGGTGGTGATGATGGTGTTGGTGGTGGTGGTGATGATGGTGGTGGTGGTGATGATGATGATGGTGGTGATGATGGTGGTGGTGGTGATGATGGTGGTGGTGGTGATGATGGGGGTGGTGGTGGTGATGATGGTGATGGTGGTGGTGTTGGTGTTGGGGGTGGTGATGGTGGTGGTGATGACGGTGGTGGTGGTGATGACGGTGGTGGTGGTGACGATGCGGGTGGTGAGCGAAACGAGGGGGGGGGGGTGGAAGGTCGATTCTCACCCCCGCGTGCCCGTCGGGTCGCGACTGTGAGAACCGCCGGTGTTTTGCGATACTGCCCGAGTCGCATGCGATGCGATTGTGTGACCCTTGCAGCCACGAGAGGCGCTACCATTGACGGTAACGTTCGAAGAATAAATTAACTGTTGCATTTTTAACAACAAAACTTAGGATACTGCGTTTGCAGCTGTGCACAAGCACAATTAATGAATGAATCAATCAATTATTTAACCTGGATTAACTGGGGCAATGTATTGACACTTACCTAATTAACCCTGGTTAATTAGTCAGCTTTGGATGTGACGTCATACCTCGTCCGCTGATTTTGCCGAGGATGGCAAGGGAGAGGGCCACCTTCACCCACCGTGCCCTCATCGCGGCAGCCACATGCGGCGGTGCAAGGGGGGAGCGGTGGAGAATGCGATCGCATGGGACTCCAGTGTGGGGGCAAGGAGGCCTGGGGGGGGGGGAGCTAGAGCCATGTACTTGACCCCGTGAACCCTGGGTGGGCACCTCTTTGAGAGGTGGCGAGACAGAGAACGAGTTTGGTGGAGTTGCTTTCGGCGATTTATTTTTTTGTGGCGATGACGACGGAAGGGAATTCGCTGATTTGGCCCCCTGCACCCCCCCCCCCCTAAAAAGAGGAACAAATGTCCACATTCGCACCTGTACCGAGGGGCATACAACCACACCGTGAATCATTTTGTAAGGAAAACAAGCGCTTCAGTTAGAATTGTTTATTTTACCGTTGCGAGCAGCGGGGATTTGTTACAGCAAACATTTACATGAACTTTATTTTGCTCCCGAATTTAATGAGTTTTTAAATATTCTATTTTTCCGAACAGAGCTAATGGCATCCATTATTCATAATTGTTACGGAGCATATCCTCGCGTCAAACAATTACCACCATACACACAGACATACACCTAGAGACACCAACAAAAACGACCAACGTCACCACGAAGTGGCGGCAACGTGACCCACGGCGCTTGTGCCATGCTAGGTGTACCTTGATGCCACGTGAAGTGACCTCACAGTAGAGGTCACGGAACAGACCCAGCAGGTGCCATGGGTTGACAGAGACTACTGGCAGATGCACCAACTGTGCTCCCCACCGTGCCAAAGGTCTGCGTTTCAGCCGCCCGGGGCTCTACCACGCTCGTGAAACACAAACGTGGCCACCGGTGTGGCTGCACGAGTGTCCCTCGCCGATCGCGGTGATGGATATTTATAAATGTATCTTTATTGTGCCACCCGTCCCCCCTCCGGCTCCAGGACTAACGCCGCCCACCACACCGCCACATAAGCAGCAGCACCTGGACTCGCTCCTGTCCTTCCGCGCCAGCAAACACAAGCAGTCGGCGCTCGGCCGCTGCGAGAGCGGCGCCGCCAAGCGCGTGCGCGGCTCCCTGGTGGTGGCGTGCGCCAGCGGCGTGGCCGGCGGGGCCGGCGGGCGTGCGCTGGAGCAGAGCGAGCTGTACGCCCAGCTCCGCAAGGCCATGGTGGGCAAGCCGGCAGGGCAGGGCGCCGGCGGGGAGCGACGTGTCGGCAAGAAACCCAGCCCGCGCCTCTTCGGCGACCACGACTACTGCCAGGCTGCGACGGCGGCGCCGCGGTGCGTCCTGATCGCTCCTCCGCACGCCGGCCACGCGCACCATCGGCAGCACCAGCGGCGGCCGACGCCGGCGGCGCCCGCACCCGTGCTCGCGGTGACGCCGGCCGCGGCGCCGGCGCAGACGCTCGCGGCGGCACCGGCGCCACAGCCGTGGGCGAGGCGGGCGGCGCCGCGCGTGCGTCGGGACTCGCTGCGCTCCGAGGTCTCGGCGGAGAGCTGCGAGGCGGCGGAGGAGGAGGCCGCCGCCCGGCGGAAGTACGACGGCGAGCGCCTGTCCCAGTGCTCCTCCTCGTCCTCCTCGGGCGTCTTCGACTCGGACGACGAGGACCCGGAGGAGGGCGACGCCGAGAAGCTCCACCGATCGGGGAAGACGGCGCCGCCGCCTCCGCAGCAGCCGCTCTGTGTGCCGGCGCGGCCCGAGCCCGGCCGGGAGAGCCGCTCGGCCCCCGTGTCTCGCCGGAACTCGATGTGCAAAAGCCCGGCGGGTTGCGGCAGCGACGGAGAGGAGGGGATCGACGCGCGGGGTGGGGGCGGACGCGAGCGTCGCCGCGCCGGGGGGTGGGAGGGGCCACCCCCCGGCGCCAGCGGCGGAGGCTGGGGCTCGCAGCCGGGCTCCCCAGCGGCCAGCCCCCCGTTCCGCGACTCACCTCCCTTCGTGATGTCGTCGCCGTCCTCCCCGCTGCAGGCGCGCGCCCATGGGCACGACCGCTCGCGCTCTCGCTCTGGATCGCCTCCAGCGTATGGCAGGTACGACCGCTCCACTTTTCCTCTCGCCCACCCCTCCGCCACCCCCGCCGGAGCCCCGTATCGTCTCTGCCAGACAGAGGGGTTGATTCCAGAACCCGGTAATTGGAAGGGGGGCAATGCGGGAACTCAACTATTCACAGGCTCCATGTGAATCTCCACGAGGGGCAGCCGGATTGAGATTAAACTTAAACATATATTTTTATTACAACTGCAGTGCAATTTGGCTTTGTGTAGCATCCAATTGCAACTGCACCTCGAGGACTGTAAGAGCAGACCTTGGAGGGCAGGTGTCGATGTTGGGATATGGCAGGGAGACGAAAGCGACGGCGAGGTGTGGCATCTATGAACTCAAACTAATCGAAGGTGACCCACCGGTTGGCTCGGAGGTCAGAGCGCTGAGCCGGCACGGCCGTGATCCCGGGCTTGAGTCCCGACAGCTGCTTAATGATGAAACCGGCCTCCCTATGGCGGCCTCAGCTTGGCCCACCGTTGGCTGCACGAAAACCCTCAGTCTCGGGATCTGGGCTCGTGCTTAATTTGTAGAAAATCTCGGCATCGAGAATGAAAGCATTGGTTCGGATCGTGGCGGGGCCACACGGCGGTAGGGGAGACAGCCGCTGTTCATTTAGGGGGGCACATTCCAGGTGAGAATCACCGCTGCCCACCAGCATCAGTGTGCGTGTCCGCGGGGGGCCACGCACGTCCCGTGTCGATCTCACTCCTCTCATCGCTCGGCAGGTTCCTCCACCACCGGAGCCGCTCGGGCTCCCCGTGCTGGACTCGCTTCAGCTCTCCTCCCTCCCAGACGCTCCTCTACCAGCACCAAAGCAGGTGAGGCACAGCAGCAGCGCTTCTTCGCTCATCGCTTCTCCGCGCTTAATTTCTCACTGAATATTCATATTTTCCGGGGCGATGGTAGATTGGAGTTGGGACCTAGAGACAGGACGCGACTTGTAGTCACAACCATAGCGAGCGGTATACTGGACGCAGTGTGCCGAGTGCAAGAAACATTTTACTGTTCGTTCACCCGAACCGACCCGGCTGAAGCCCCGTTGTTGCTTCCCGATTCTTCGCGTTTCCTTACTTCACGTGGCGCTCTAAAACCGACAGCGCACGGCCTTAGTCACGCGTTCTCTTGCGCGTCTCTCTCGTGGTATCGACGTCCGCCTGTCAGCCCGACACAAAGGACGTGACACGGTGGGGTGGCGGGGGGAGCGTGCGTAACGCGTGCATAATGCGTGCGTGCGCTTGCGCCTGCAGGTACGAGTGCGACGATTATGAGCGGAGCAAGCGGGAGGAGCACCGGCGGGAGTACGAGAAGCGCGAGATCGAGAGAGCCAAGCAGAGAGAGCGGCAGAGGGAGAAGGCCTTTGTAAGCGCCCACCGCAAACCAACCGTGCACGGTCACGCCGGCGCTGACACACGCTCGGTCGAGTGACAGTAGCATCTGAAATATTTAGACAGCGACTCTGGTGATATTTGTTTTTTATTCTTATGTCGAGGGATTGCTGTCTCACCGAATATTGCCTGGCTCGTTGGCAGGCTGGAGTAGGTGGCGTGTGACTAACGGCCACAGCCAGAGCAATAGGAGGTATACTTGATGTGGTGTGTCCGAGGTAGGGAAACCGAACAGGCGGGAATTAGAGCCCTGTCACGTAACAGCAAATGTAACCTTGGGGCGCATTCTCGAATGACGACAACAATTACAGTGCAATGCAGTGCTGCTCATCATTGTTGTCATCAATACCAGTCATGATCTGTCCACTGCTGGATAAAAGCCTCCCCAAGCTGTCAACAGATCTTTCGTGGTCTTGCGTGCAGCGATCTATGTAGCACCTACACACGGGCTGTTCATCCTTCGCTTCTTCACCATGGTGGGAATTTATATGTAATTTGTAGACGACTTTCAATCTTCAAAGGAGCATCCGAGGCCTCACATTCGTTTTACGCACGAGTATAGCTTTCTTTCACACACAGTCTCACAAGAAATCCTCACCTTCGTCACGACCTTCATCTTGACCTGACTGGTCGTATTTTTTTCGTCACTGCGACCTTATCGGCTCCGCATCATGAGCAGTGCTGTGACCGGTCGCGATCGGGCCCGTTAGCGACCGACCCCTCTCGCAACTCGATAGGTCGCCATGATTCAGCGGCCGTAACTCGATTCAAGACATAAATATTCAGTTTTTGCCCTTGCAATCCGTAGAAACACGTTATCGGCTGCAGGGTTTCCGTTCACACACACGCACGCACACACACATACACAATCTGAACCAAGTCTCATGCACGATGTGTTGGGTACATCGTGAGCATATCAATCGATGATTCGGCGCACTGCAACATCCCTTGTTGGGACCCGCACGACCGCTGTCGTCACCTGTGACCTGACCTGTGACCTGACCTGTCACGTGACCCCCGTACCGTGGCAGGAGGAGAGGCGTGTTGTGCACGTGGGGCGGCTGCCGTCGGACCTGTCGCGATCCGACCTGCAGAAGAGGTTCGAGGTGTTTGGGGACATTGAGGAGTGCGTCATCAACCTTAGGGACAATGGGTGAGCCCACGTGCGCACGCACACAACCACCGATCGTCAGCAACAGAACAGCCATGATCTATCCACTGGTGGACGAACCCATCCACGGACCGTCGCCATTTCTTGCAGTGTCGCAATGCAACAATTCGTCCGGCTCGTGCGCACGAGACGGTTTTCATGGGTCCGTTTCCACGTTGTATGCGCTGTTAGGAACTTTCAAGGCAGGGGGTGATACCTTCAACCAGCAGTCGGCTGTACTGTTAGACATTTATCGATGTCGAATAATCGATTCCTACACAGATGCTATTCGTGGCTCGTGGGGTGGAGCTGTATGTATGCTGAATTTCTTTCGCTCCGTACGTAGCCAACCATGCTAAAATATCGGAGGTGCAGGGAAAGACAACAAACTTAACACAAAAATCAGTTCTAAAGAAATGGGTTTTCAATCCCGATTTAAAAGTCATTAGCTCCCAGTGGCTTCCAAATATCGGAAGGAAGACAGTTCCAGATGGCTACAGGAGCACATCTGACAGCGCTCAATGCAATGACCGTCTTTATTCGATGGCCAGCCAAATGGCACGGCAAGCCATCGAACTGTCTGGCAGGCGGCTTCTGAATGTGTCGACAGCGTGAATTTACCTCCTGCTCTGTCTCGCTTTGTTCTCTCGTGCTGGCACCGTGCGCGCAGCGAGAGCTACGCGTTCCTGACGTTCCGCTTCACGTGCGACGCCTGCGCCGCCGTGCAGAGCGGCCACACGCTGAGCCGGCCCGGCGAGTGCCACCTCGACATCGGCTACGGTGGACGCCGCCTCTCCTGCCGCACCGGCTACACCGACCTGGGTCCGTGGACACGCACCCCCCCCCCCCCCCATACACACACACAAGACAAAGATCCCCCGTATAGCCTCCATGAACCTTTTGGGGCAAGCGCTGTTCGCGAGCACTACTGAAGGCCAGCACGGCACACGAGGGGGGGGGGGGGGGGCGGGTGGCCAGAATCGTGCCTGGCTGCCTTTGTCTCTCTGGTACACACAACACCTGGTACTCATTTCAGGCTGAGTCGACCTAGGGAAAGTCCAATATCGGTTTAGATAATCGTCACTGGTTGCTGCGTTCGTAGCGCAGACACACACACGCTTGTGCATATTCATCTCCATGATATGCTGGAATGGAAGGTGGTACTCATTAGAACGTGGTGCTCAATATAAGATGGTTCTCATCAAGTGGTACGTATTAGAAGGTGGCACTCAGTAGAATGTGGTACTCAATGAAGGGGTGGTACTTATTGTCTGCATTGTTTCTCCGCCTCTCTGGCCGCAGACCCCACCACGGACGACTTCGATCCGACTGCCTCCAAGAGCAAATACGACACCATGGACTTTGACAGCCTGCTCCGCGAGGCCCAGTGCAGCCTGCGCAGGTAACGCGTCTCTCAGCGCCGTGGCAAACCGTCTCCAGGCAAACCGTCTCCCGGCAACCGTCTCCGCGGCGATGGCAGGGCCGCCCTCCTCCACCCCCCGCCCAGCCTCCGTCGCCTCCGCCCCCCTCTACCCTCCCCGCGGAGGGCCTCGTGCCGCCACACCTCCACGCTCCGTTCGAGGGCACCGCGCTGCAGAATACAAACGACAAACGCCGTCGATTTGACCAATGACCGCCCGGAACCTGAAGGCGCCGGGGTTGAACGGCGTGGAAAACGGCCGAAGGTGGACAATCGCCTCGCCGTCGCCCCATGGGTGGACAATCGCCTCGCCGTCACCCCGCGGGTGGATGATCGCCTCGCCGTCGAGCGTTGGACAGCGGCGAAGAAATCTGCTTTACACTACAATATACTAAGAGAAGACTAAAGTTTACAGATACGTTGCAGTACATTTATTTAGGTGCCAGTAATTAAAGAGAATGAAACAAAATATATATATCCGGGGCTTGTATTGAAGGGAAGATGTCGATTTAATGACGAGGCGTGGCGCGCACGCCGCGTTGCGTCCGGTCGCCGCCAAAACGAGGTGGGGGCGGTGCGGGGGGCGGGGGGTGCACTTGGTCTGCGCTCAGGAATTGTGAAGAGGTGCGAGGACCCAGCGAATGATGCCCCCCCCCCATCCCCCGCCCGTCGTTGCTACCGCCCCCGGAGATCCACGACCCGAGCCAGCGAAGAGGCGGTGAGCGGCGGATCCGGGGGGGGGGGGGGTTCCTGGAGCGCACGAAGTCGTTGGGATTGCGCAATCGACCCCCCTCCCTCTCCTCGCCCCACCCACCCCCCCCCCCCCCATCGTGGGGTTGGGGGGGATGTTGGGATTTTTGAAAGGGTTTTTCTTTCCCCCCCCTCCCCCAGCGCTGTCACAAGCCACGCGGTTACCTGTGGAATTTTGTTAATTGCAGATTTAAATGGTAAATAAATTAAGTATTTTTATCTGTATGATATATTCTAAAATAATAATAATAACTTTGTTACAACTATGCACTGTATAAGATGCAGCCATTTTTTTTTTGGTTTTTATTTTCTGGTTTGTGTTGTGTTTTTATTTTTATTTTTACTCCGTTCCTGGAAATCCTTTCTTATTTCATGTTTACAGAGCTGTCGACGCGACAACGAAGTCCGTTGTTACACGACGTACACGATGTACACACGAGGCATGCGCCCGCCGCCGCTAACACGGCCGCCGCAGCCGCAGAGTGAATGTGCGGGGTTTAGGGTGGAAAAGACGTCGCCGACAAACAAACTGGTCAGGATCACCGTCGCGGCCATCACAGCCACCGTGGCCATCGCCACCGCGGTGGTCGTGATCGCCGCTAGCCAAGCCGCGAGATCGCACGCCCCTGACCCCCGTCGCAGCAGCAGCAGCAGCAGCCGCCAGAGAACGCTCGGGCAGAATTTTGCTCGGACAAAAGAGACAAGAGCACCGAATATTTTCCACGTTCTACGATTGAAATCGAAACGTCAATTTGGAAACGCTTGATTTTTTTCGACACTGCCTCGAAACGTTTTTGAATGAACGGAAATGCTAAATCGTAATAATTATAATGATAACGATGATAAATAATCGCAAAGGCCAGTTTAAGGAAGGGGGAAAAAACAAGCAAATGTAATTTTGTTATTTAATTGAGCTTCTGGGGGAGCATATCTCCCCCTCCCTGCCCCCCTGGTGCACCATTGAGAGAGAGTGTGGATCTCGAGGGGAAGGAACGGCAGTGACACTGGGTTTTTATATGTATTAAAAAAGAAACGTAGAATGCATTTTTTGATACACCGGCTGGTTTTTCATTTTTTTTTTTAAACGCGAAAACGCGTCGTTTGTGTTGACGTTGCGTGCTCTTCCTTTCCTTTCGGACGACAAACCGTGAACGCACGATGGATGACGGGAGGGGGGGGGGCACCAAGAGCCACCAGCAACGCCGAGCTGCGGCGGCGGCCACGCTCGAGGTCGGCCTTTGCGGGCGTTTCTCACGAGTCCTTTTCAGGGTCGCCCCAAGAAAATAAAAAAGGACATATATATGAACGCGCGGGTGAATAAAGGCTGCGCCAATTAATTCCTTGAAACAACGCGAGTGAATTTCGCGCGTCGCCGGATTAAGCGAATTGTAAAATTAAAAACGGCATCAAGCCAACACCGGGGCCCTCCAATTTAGCGAACGATTGCATTTGCGCGTTGCGGCAAATCCCCAACTCCCCCCCCCCCCCCCGCGCTTTCCCTGTAATTGGCACGTCGTTGAGCGCCCGGCAGGCCCCCGCTTGTTTTGGGTGTGCAATTACCCCCGCGGAATGATTACATTCGCGAGCCTTTTAATTTCTTTGCAGAGTTGGCAAGCCAGCTTTTGCCCTCGTCAGGAAGACGAGGATCGAAAGGAGAGCACACTCCCCCCCCCCCCCCCCCACCGCGTGTGACCTCCGTGCCCTCGGGGGCGAGTCTTGCCCGCACGGAGCCAAACGGGGCTGTCTGGCAGCGCAGACAACGGGTGGCGAGGGACGGGGTAGGAGACGAACGTGAGAGCCGACCCGGTCAAAGGGGATGAAACGCGAGAGCTGTCCGACTGCTGAACCGGTCAAAGGCGCCCGCCCATCGGCAGGAGCGGCCACGGCACGGCGAGCGGTTCGGTTGGCGCGGCCAACGACTGGACAACCCGGCTGCGAGCGCGGCTCCTCTGGCGCGTCGTCGTCTCGCTCCGGCGAGCTGCCCGGGGTGAGCCGCGGCGCCAGAGCGAGCGCTCGGAGGTTGTGACGTCTCGAGCGTCGCTTGAACGATCTGCCGCCACCGCCGGTGTACCAAAGCGACATTCTGGTTTGGTGTCACCGATGCCGCTCTCCGATTGGAGCTTTGCGCTGTTGCTAGCGGCCCGTTGTAGACCTCACCTCCCCCCCCCCCCCGACAACCACCATCGTCACCACGTGCTAGGTTTTTTCTCTCTCTATGAAACAAATGTTTTACATCAATTTGCATTTTTCTCAGATAAGAAAATTAGGAAGGCTTTTAATGATTAATTGAATTCGCGTTCGGATGTGGGTGGCGAGGACCCCCCACGGGCGGGATGATGTGAGCGGTTCCCGGCTCCTGCAGCGAAGCAATCGCGACCGTCCTCTCCGCTCAGTGGCAGTTTAAATAAATAACCCCGGTGCTGTTTATAATCGGCCCCTTACGAGCAAGTCCACCTGCAATCTGCGCGTTCCTGATAGGTGGGTATGCCACGCAGGTATCTTATAGGTGGCAGACCCGACAGTCCGCAGGAATCTTAATAGGTGGTAGCGCCCTGTGATCTCTAGGTTTCTGATAGGTGCGGCGCCTTCACTCTGGAGTTATCTGATTGCTGGTGGGGGGGCCATGCATTCAATCTGTAGGAGAGTGGGGTGGTGGTGGGGGGGGTGGGGAGAAGTGGCAGAGGTCACTTGTCACTGTGATGGGGAGGCAGCTCCTGCTCGCTGCCGCTCCAACGCTGACTGACGCGTCTCCTTGTTGTGCTGTCAGGAGTCGCGCGTCGCTCGGGAGGGCCCCTCCATCGATACAGAGGCCACGCAACAAAGGGGCAGGCAGCTCTTGTTTATTTATCCCCGTGACGGACGGGCGCATGGCCCGCGGGAACGCCCGCAAGCAAATACCCCGCGGCGCATTTGCATTCGTATGTGCATGTATGTTTGATATATATATACATGCACATATGATGACAATAACAACAATCTAACTGATGTTTACTGCTGTATTCTGCGGAAAGCTGGTGGCTCGGGATTTAACAATGAAAAGTGTCATAAATAACGTAAAAAAAAAAGTTTGAAGTGATTTTTAATACCCACCCGGAAAAAAAATATACAAAAAATACATTTAAATGAGACTAAAGAATTAACGAAGAAACTTCAGTCCATATCTGTACATAGCCGAGAATTGATCATAGCATATTTAACTTGGAATTGAGCACTGGGCTAAGCTCTTTGCTGTTTAGCTTGGCAGACACTTTGGTGATGATTAATAAGTAATAATGGTTATTTAAGTCTTCCAGTTTTTATTTGTTTTATTTTTTCCTCGTCCTTCTATCTCCGTCTCCTACGTGGGCCACCTCTGGTTTAGTTTGAAGCCCTGACATTTGCTGTTGTTGGTGTGCGTGCGTGCGTGCGCGAGTGTGCGTACATGTGTGTGTGTGCGTGCGTGTGCGAGTGTGTGTGCGTGTATATACTGGGTGTATCTAAACCAGTGAGAGGTGTGATTCTGTGGCAATAAACTGGAAAAAAAACACTTTACCTGGTGGCCAACTCGTGTCTGCTTGCTGATATATGTTTTGGATAAAGGCGCAGCCCTGCAATCGATCGCTCTCGCCATTGCTGGTAGAAGGGGCCTCCATGAGAGGCCGCTCTAGAAGGGTGTTTGGCCTCCACTTCTATACTTGCCAGACGTTTTGTAAGTGGGAGTCACCCACACTTTACCCCCAACACTTTAGTCCAAAACTGGACGTCTGTGAAAAAGATCTTCATAAACTATTCGAATTCCTCCAGTATAAATATTCTGATTTTGAAGAGACCTTTCCATTGACTGGTGCAGCCATTTTACTCTGCTGGACCGACAGAGTCGAGACAGGGCATTAAATAAACTTCCCTATTGGTACAGTTTCATAACAATATTTTTACGTAACAGAGATGTTTAATTAATCGCATTGAACAGCAGGCGTGGGATGGGTGGTACAGCGGTATCCGCCACATCGTGCTGATGAACCCAATCGCCTGAATTTGATTCCCAGCCACGGCGAACATGAGCTGCGAGTGTTTTCTGAAAAGATCCTTGGGATACCTGTCCCGTACACCAACCCGCGCTGACCCAACAGGGCCAGCGAGCGGCACGGTGCAGGAAGGCTTGCGTCCAACAGAAGATGAAGAACACAGGGCTGTAAATTGTTGTTATGACTGAGCAACCAGTAGAGCTATTCTTCAACAACAACAACAAAAATGTAACAGCGACCACTGACCGCGCTGAAGACAATCGATTGATTTTACAATTAAGGAGTGATGGCCAATGGAACGCATTGGTAATTGATTACATCCTGGCGTTGATGAACAGTGACGGGATTTGCACTGCGCGACTTTTCAGGACGACGCCGATGTGGTGCGTGGGGGGGTTGGGTGGGAGGGGTGAGGCGGGAGGCGTTGGTTGAATGATTATTTTTCACACTAATTGTTTTCCCACATGGCATCTGCCTTGCCTGAGCCTCCATCCTTGAGCCACATTCAGCGTCGTGATCCAATCGTTGATAAAATAATAATTCCCCTTTTTGTATGTCGCCTCGTCTCTTTATTTATTTTATAATTTTGCTTTATCATCACCACCACACGTGATAAATCCACTGCTGGATGGAGATCTTCCCAAGGTGTCACAATGCCTCACAATCATGTGACGGCATTTAATTAAAATGCAGCTGCATCTGTCTGAAGACTTCCATGCGACGAGGGGGCCCCGCATTGCGAAGTTTGGACAAATCTTGTACAGTAGTGCATTTGTAAGCAATAATAATTACTAGACATGTTTTTTGACTGGCTGTTTAAAATGTTAGTTATCACGAGGAGGTGGGGGGTTTTTCTTCTCTCTGTGAGAGAACGCGGTTCTGCACGGATATACGATTCTCGGGAAGTATGATTATTCCTTGTTTTGCTTCGAGAGGTCTACTTTAAATTCCTCTGCTCGTGTAATACTCTGTCTCGATTGTCTACTTATGGTACCACCTCTCTGCGGGCCGTGATCCACGTCAATCACTGTGATCAGTAGCGCTCCACGGCGGGGGGGGGGGGGGGTTGCTGATAATGACAATTAGTGAATGCCCCATCACCTCCCCCCACCCACCGCCCCCAGATGTGTTATGAGAGGGACGTCTACATTGTAAAAGTCCGCAGCTACTTCCTGTTGCTGCCACTCCGCAACCTCCCGATTGGCGCGGACGGCTATGTACGGTGCAAAAGAAGTTAAATGTGCATTACATGCATCATACATTCCTCTAGACCACCGGCCACCGGTCCCTTCTTGCGGCGCGTCGCGCTGAAAACCACTTTCGTCAAGAACAACAACCATGAGAATAGGTTTTCCTTTTTTTCTGGCAGCAAAACAGGTGTTAAGATGTTAAAACACCAAACTGAAACCTTTTCCAAGGAATCATGTCTACACTAACCACAATGCTTGTGGTCAGAATGCATTTTTTGAATTCTGACCACAAGTATTGTGGTTAGTGTAGACATGATTCCTTGTAAAAGGTTTCAGTTTGGTGTTTTAACATCTTAACACCTGTTTTGTTACCAGAAAAAATGAGAAAACCTATTCTCATATTTTGGTACTGGCAACGGTCATATGAAACAAAAACCATGATCTGACCATCATCTGAACATTTTCATTACCCACAATCCACCAGGAAGGCGCACAGCAAATAGTGTTCATCTGATGCAGTTTGGCAGCTCTCGGCTCCTACCCCACCACCACATCGCCTCTCCCAGAATCTAGGTTGACGGGCCCCCCTCCTTCATTTCCACTCGCCCCCCCCATGCCCTGCAGCGCTAATACAGAAAGTGACACGTCTGTCACTGTGACTGATTGAGTAATGCGCGTCACATTAAAGCATTATCTGCATCAATCACGTGATGGGCTTTTATCAAACTAAGACATGCACGCGTGTCGGGTAAGTCTGGAGGCCACGTGGAGGCGGGGGGGGGCACGTGACCCAAACAAAACAACAGGACCATTTTTTTGTTGCTACAACGCACTAAGCATACGTGTCCACCATCATCACCGTCAGCCATGATCAATCGACTGCTGGATGAAGGCACTAACTCAGCCGTCGCCACACGTCCACGTGAGTCTCAGTTGCTACACCCCCCCCCCCTATAACTGACGTCATTGTCAAGCGCGCCATTATAGTACTACCTGACGTCACTGCGACGTCAGACAATGTGTACACAGAGTGATCAATTCACAGTAAACTCTGGAGGCAAGATTCGTCTTGTAAAGATTCACCCTCCGGGCGATTCGATTAGTTGTCTCATCCAGCAGTGGACTTCTCATTCCCGATGATGACGACGATGAATAAGAAATGTGATGCCATCCAGCTTAACGTGTCGCGGAGCTCTTAAGAATGCAAAGCTACTTAGCCTGCAGCCTGGGCCACATGCAGAGGTCACGCGACCCATTTGACATTTGTAGCCAGGATATTGGCGATTTTTAAATAATATACCTCAGGGGGCAGTTAGGGGGGTAGATGGGAATGGGGAGGGGGGGCGGAGGTCGGGGGGGGGGGGTACAAAAAGGAGGGCGGGGGGGAAAGCGGGGGTGGGGGGGATTGGACTTTGAGAGGCGCTGAAGCAGCTGCGTCCAGTACTCCAGCATAGATCCAAAGGTCAAGAGTTCACGAGCCCACCGCTTTGAACGCACAGTGGTGGCGCGCGCGTGTGATCTCGCGCTTCACAGGGGCAAGGGTCGGTGGACCACGCACGGACCGATAGGTAAAACTCCCGAGCGCGCTGGCCTGCGAGGTGGCCAGCGGATTGCAGGACAGCAAGTGGGTTAGGGCCCTTGTAGTCATTACGTTGTCTAGATACCAGGGGGCCGCCTCTGCCCTTTCGGTTGGCTGACTGCCTGGCTGTGTTGGGGTGAGCTGGCGTTAGATCACTTCGGAGACCCAACCGTTAGGGACGCCAGCTTTTATTTTCCATAGCAGGAGCCTCCTGCAGAAGAGTATTGAGACTCAGCAGAGCTGCCCTGGGTAAATGGGTGACGTCACTGCTTTCGCAATGTATGATGGGTGATTGGCATGAGAGCCGAGGGGCCACCGTGGATCACGTCTGCTGATCCGCGTCCCTCCTGACGGGGAGGGTAGACATTGAAAGATCTTCAATATATATAGATAAATAAATATGGCTGTTTTATTTATTTATATGCATACGTGTTAATTCCCTGGGGTAGTTATAGATGCAATTACTGGCCGCAATTGTGGAAATTTAACAGGAAGAAGATTGCTCCCACAATCAACACCGTCTCGCTGCGTTAATTAGAGAGTGCGGGGAAGGGCAGCGCTCCCCCTGTTGCTCTCCACGATCTCCCCACCCTCTCTCTCCGCACTCAATATTTCCACTCTCTCTCCACTCTATCCATTCTCGATCCACTCTCTCTCTCTCCACGCTCTCTCCACTGTCTCTCTCCAGGCTCTCTCTCCCAGCCCTTCCCTTCCACGCTTTCACTTCCCCCTCTCTCTCCTTACTCTCTCCGCTCTCTCCCCACCCTCCCTCTCTACGCTCTCACCTGCTGTTATGTCACGGGGAGTGTGCCCGCAGTGGACACCGCGTCCACTTGCAGCGACACGGAGTATTTCCTGCTGCCCGCCATCGCCACCACCATCACCACCGCCACGGCCACTACCATCACCGTCCCTACCACTGCCGCTACCTACCACGATCACCGCCAGCTCCAGCACCACTACCACCGTCATCACCGACAGAGCCAACACCAACACCACCACCGCCTTGAAAATTGACTTATGATTTAGGTTGGGTTGGTAGAGGGGGGGGTGGCATCGATTTAAAGTGGTCAAAACGTGCGCATTCGTCAGCGTCAAGGTAAAGCAAACAAATGCGGGCGCCGCGGGGGGGAGGTGAAGCGGCGGGGGGGGGGGGGCGTGCTGACAAATGGGCGGCGCTGGGCGCGCTCGCTGCCGGCTCAGTGCCCTCGGCGTGATGGACACCACGGGGCCCCGTGATGAATGTGACAGCGCCGGTCAGCCAGAGCGGCGTCAGTAGCGTCCGGAGATGGTGCTGGGGAAAGACATGCGGTTGGAGTAGGGGGCAGGGCGGAGAGGGGGGGGATAGAGATGGTGATGAGAGTTGGGGATGAGTTGGGTGGGTGGGGGGTGATCAGGGTGGAGCTGAGAGCGAGGTTGATGGATTCGGGGTGAAGAGGGGGGGTTGTGAAGGGGGTCTCCATTGTAAAGCGGGGAGTTCTCAAATTACAGTCCTCGAGATCTGCCACGGACACGTCGTTCTACGTGGTTGCCAGTCGCCTTCGTTCACAAGTAGATCGTGCACGCTGAACGCGACCGATGATTGTTAAATACGTTCCCTCGAGACATAGGGAGCGCTGATTCATTAGATATTCGAGCGGTCTACGTCACGCGTAACACGCGCGCACAAAAGACAACGATCCCCTGTGTAGCCTTTTACAGGCATTTGGAGTAAGTGCCATTAGTTAGTACTGATGTGGAGTGTGAGTGACCAGCA